ATTTTATCTACCACTTCATTTAGTTCGGAAGCTAGAGTGATTTCCACAGACGGACGGACATCGCTAAATCGAGTAAAATGTTATCTACCACTTCATTTCGTTCGGAAGCTAGAGTGATTTCCACAGACGGATAGATGGAAAGACGGATGGACATCGACATAGAATTTTATGCTGATCAAGAATATATATACCTCTTGGGGTGTAAAATGTATATTTCGAGGTGTTACGAACGGATGTCATAATATTGTTTGTCATAATATACCCTCCATACTATGATGAAGGGTATAAAAACTGTAATAATTTTCCGATTAACAAATATTTTTTTTTACCAATGGGGGATTAAAAAAATCTCTACAGATTTTAGTTCGAAAATTCAAAGTTCGATTTTGCTCCAACTTTGTAAATCCTAATATTTGCATCAGTTCTAGGTCAGGTGCGAAAATGGACAATATCATATTAAAGGGTCAAAATTTTGAATAATAGTAACTCTTGTAAAATGTCGTGTAATAGTTCATTTGTCTTCAAATTACACACATCAAAATGTTTTTATTAGCCCAAGGTCTGCTGCATATATCGGTCCACTCCTTCTGGTACCTCCCCCACAAAGGGTCAAAATTTGAATATCCATGAAACTCATAATCCGCGAAATTAACATCCGATTCCATTCAGACTTGGTAAATCTCAATATTTCCAAGAGCACAAGATCTATTGTAAATATGGTAGATATCGGATCATTTCTTCCGGTACCTCCTCCACACTTCAATTTTTTCACTCTATCCCCATGTAGATGTAAACTTTTTTGTAATAAAGTGGCGCCCAATATCAGGCACGTTAGCCTGAAAAACGTTAGCAAACAACAGTGTTAAGATACCGCTATAGATGACGTTCATTATGAAATACGATTTATAAAAACCTCATACTATCGCGAAACTCTGATGCTATTATATTGCAGATCTTCACATGGACCCATATAATGGTAACTCCCCATTTTCGGTATTTTGGCGATTAAAGCGACATTATGCTCCGGAAATGTTTCAAATTTTTTATTTGAAGTTCGTAATGAATACTGCAGCCTATGTCAGAAAATTGTCCGTGCAGGTCCACGTTTTGGTATAGCCCTCATCTAATTATACATCCCTATTTTCGGTATTTTGGTGATTTAAGCGACTTTATTCACCGGAAATGTTTCAAATTTGGTATTTGAAGTTCGTAATGGATACTGCAGCCTATGTCAGAAAATTGTCCGTGCAGGTCCTCGTTTAGGTATAGCCCCCATATAACGGTACCTTCCGAAATTTGGTATTTTGATGACTTAATTCACCGATTTTTTTTTTCAAATTTCTTATTTGAATATTGTAATGGCTTATGATAAACGTCGTCGTATAGACCCTAGTATAACGGCTACATTGGGATTTTTTTAAAGGTTTTACTAGAATTTTTAAAGGATATTGGTAATACAGTGGCGCCAAATGGCAGGTAACATGTTACTAAAGAACAATGTTAACATTCGAGTATAGATGGCGTTTGTTTTGAATTAAATCTCTTGTAATTCAAGGTCGAATTTATATAAAATCGTATTATATCACCGTGGGAAATGGGACATCCAGAGGAGTCGTTTTGAATTTCGACCACAAGTCGCTTTAGCTCCATGTAGTTGTAAATTATTTGTAATAAACTGCTTGGGCGCCCAAAAACGTGCAACAAGTCCAAAACAATATTAACATACAAGTATAGATGGCGTTCATTATAAATTAAATATCAAGAACATTATACCGCGAAGTGAGTAAACTTCAAGAACGAATTTATAAAACTTCGTATGATATTTTGGTATTATATTGCGTACCTTGGAAAATGGAGCATCAAGAAGATTCGTCTTGAACTTCGACTGCGTTAGCTCTTGCTCCATCTTGTTGTTAGTTTTTGGTAATAAAGTGCACATAATATTATGGCGATCAAAAAACCACATGCCAAACCCCCATGAAAGATACCAAAGAACAGCTTTAAATTTGAAGTATAGATGGCGCCCATTATGAAATAAAATATAAAGAAATTTAAAATGTAAATCTCGTACACTTCCTGGACGAACTTATAAAAAATCTATATATTTTTTTCTTTTATCCCGAGAAATGGGGCATTTTGAGATTTCTCTTTGAATTTTGACGACTATTAGTTCTAGCTCCATATTGCTGTCAATTTATGATAATGACGTGCTCATAATATTATGATGCCTAACAGACAGGCAAAGAAATCTATTAACAGTCAAGTATAGATGGCGTTTCTTAAAGATATGAAATACTAAAAATAACTTTTGGAAAAATCACATTTTCAAAACTAAAGGAAAATAATATTTAAAAAATGCACATCTTTAAAAAATATGTTTACAAGTATCAAAAATATATGTAAAACAAGTAAGCAAAGGCTACAGTCGAGCGGGGCCGACCGTTGAATACCCTACAACACTATAATAAACGATACAGTTTATATAGGCGAGATACTCGAAAGAATTCCACAAGATATTGTGACAAATAATAAAGGAAACCATCAGGTTTCGTTCTCTAATTTTCGAATAATAGCAACTTAAACTAATTTAAATGGTCTTCCTAGATCTGAAACCAATATTTCCCAAAGACCTATAATCTCTCGAAGTGGTGAAAGATTAACATTTATTATTGGTTTTTGACTGAAACGCATCTATATGAGATACAGACATTTGACAATATTCTTCAACGAAATCAGCGTTAACGAAATAGTCAGGAGTGCGTCTTTCCTGTATTTGTGAATTCTCCAAAAAGTCACAGGAATGGACATTTTCGTATTTTGTCTACAAAAGTTGGCAAACTATTTCCCACATTGAATAATTTTGGAGGGCCTTCCAAAACTGGCTTTTGCAATGTCCGGTAACCCCCATTCAAATGTGCATGAGGATCGATTGATAATTACGACCTGCTGACAATTTTGCAGTTTTTTGGTCCATTTCAACCCCTAAATATATGGCGATCATCTCCAAAAAGAATAGGCTTTTATTCTGACCCTCATCTTATCTCCATGCAAAATTTCGTAAGGATCGGGCCATAAATGCGATCTGTATATGATATCCTGATATCCCAACTACTTAGTTTTGTTAGCTGTAGAAACATTACCAAATGTTTAATTCAAAATGAAAATATGCCAAAAATATGACAAAATTGAAAAAATATGAGAAAATTTTAAAAAATCAATATTTTCATCATCATGGAGATATTTTTATGCGATTTTTTTAGACGTTTTTTCTTTCCTGCCAAGAGGCCATTCTGAATTAATGAGAACTGTCGAAATCAGTTCAGCCGTTCTCGACATATAAGAGATCTTTCAAGCATATCTTCTTTGATAGACATATATATCGCACATATTTCGCTATATATCCGATTTGTTGGATGTTAACATCAATTTAAAGGTCAGAAGTAACCTTGTCATGGCTTTGTGATTTCGCCGGTATTTAAAATATTCACGGTTTAATGAAAAATTTTGAATTTTTTCAACACAAAAGATATGGTCTATTTTACCCGCTAAATATTATCCGATGACCACCAAAATTGGTAGGCTTCTTCCCCGCCCTAAACTCTAGCTACATGCGAAATTCCGATCGTCGGTTGGTCTATAATTGCGACCTGTATAGCTACTGCAAAATCCGACATTTTTTCAGTATTTGGTCCATTTGAACCCCTAAATATTACGCGATCATCTCCAAAAGAAATAGGGTTCTATTCTGACCTAAGCCCCACCTCCATTCAAAATTTCGTGAAGATCGGGCCATAATTGCGACCTGTAGAGTGATTACAAATTAACATGGACAGACGGACAGACGGACAGACGGACGGACGGACATACATAGCTAGATCGACTCAGCTCGGCGAGCTAGGAAGATCCATATATATTTTCCTATATGGGAAACCAATATTTCGAGGTGTTACATAAATTCTGGCCCAATCAAACTTATAATACCCCCAACACATAGTGTTGTAGGGTATAAAAATTTTAGAAAAATTGTGAAAAATATTTAAAAAAATATTATGGCAGAATTCTGAGACAAAACAAACTCTTCGTTTTTTCTGCGAAAATTCCAGATGCCTTGGAATGTCTGTAAATAATTTTCTATTCTTTCATACTCTTTCATATTCTTATCAGTAGCTCAAGGCCTAAGGTAGCCGGTTATTGGAATAGATCAAGACAAAGAAGAAGCTAAATAAGAAAAAAAATTCCATTTGCTATTTTGAAAAAAAAAAAATTTCGAAATTGGATCAATAAGTAGATGGGAGATGTCAAAACGATAACATTGTCAAAAGAAGATTTGCACGTACACATTTTTGATTCGGCTGACGTACAAACATAGGATGTTGTTGGTCGAAATAATTGCTTTTGTATATGGCTTTTGTCACTCTCGCATATAGTGTGAGGAGCTGATAAACTTTTGGACGTCAATTAAATGAAAAAAAAATAAGCAAATAATTAAAATGAGAAGCGATGTGAAAATGTCCGCGAATCTTAACACGGAGTTTGATTCAGAGATCTTCTTATCAGTTTTTTTTTTTATTTCAAATTAAGTTCGAAGACAGGGAGAGAGAGAGATAATTAATCTCTTAATTTAAGAAATTATCGTTTACAATTAAATGAGCAAAGTTGTCCAGCAGATCTCCTGGGATCTTATTTGCATTTTAAATTATATTCCAATGAGATTCGAATTGGGCTCCCATAAGAGAATTGAACAAAAGAGAGAGAGAGTGAGAGAGAGGGGGAGGGAAGTAATTTCTTGACTTGAGCCCTCTCTCCCCATAAATACACTCATGGAAAATTATAAATCGAATAAAATAAGAGAAGTTTGAAAAATGGAGATGCATTTCCTGATCTTCTGGAAGCTGGCTATATTTTCTCTTTTTCAATTTTCAACATCAATTTAAATCATATATCCCTATTTATTTATAATTAAAACAACAAATTCATTGTTCATCTTCTCTGTCTTCCAGGTTCATCAAAGCTTCAAAATGGCTCTGTCCAAAATCGACATGGAAATGGATCAGGAGAAATATTTACGCGAGGTAACTCGCCATTTTCGTGGCATTGAAAAACCTTTGAAATATGGTCCAGTAATTGAGACCCTCAACGATTTGGTGGCGGCTCTACATCAGGAATTTGCCACCAATTATGTGAACATTGAAATGGTCAATCACATTATGTTGTCCTACAAATCGAATCCCAAGGAATGGAAGAAATTCGCCAAATTCGATCGTTACAAATACACAAGGAATCTCGTCGATGCCGGCAATGGAAAATTCAATCTAATGATCCTGTGTTGGGGTGAAGGTCATGGTTCGACCATACACGATCACTCGGATTCGCATTGTTTTATGAAAATGCTGAAGGGTGAACTGACCGAGACCCGTTTCACATGGCCGGAAAATACCACGGCCGAAGATCATTTGGACACCATACCAGAGGGAGAGGAATTTGAATATCATGATGCGCTGCAGGTGATTGGCCAAAGGACAATGGGTCTCAATGATGTGGCCTATATAAATGGTAAGTTGGGAGAGGACCTTTCCAACTTTTTTTTTTTTTGGAATTCTTATCTAATTTTCTCTTTGCCTTGCAGACAACCTGGGCCTTCATCGCGTGGAAAATCCCAGCCATTCGGACACTGCCATTTCGCTGCATCTATACTGTCCACCCTTCGACACCTGTTCCATGTTCGAAAAGACCACCGGCAAACGGCTGAAATGCAATGTCACCTTCTGGAGCAAATATGGCCAAAAAGTGGAACACTAATCTCCAGCACCATTTTTGTTTTGTAATTTTTTTACAAAATTTAATATAATTTTGTAGTACCAAAAAACAACAACAACAAATATATATACCCACGCCCCCCATACAAACACATATATATAAATATATACAGTAGAAGAAAAGGACAAAAGAAGACTTATTTAGTTTGTACAATCCTAGCCTGTAGTTGTAGTTGTTAATAATTTTAATTTTTATTGTTTTTTTTTCTCTTTTTATATGGATTTAGTTATAAGACAATGCGTTTATAAATTAAAAGAAATATACATATAATTTTAATAAACACAAATGAGAGTTTGATTGGTTTTTATACATACGAAGGCAAAAATTAAAAATATAAATGCCATGTAAACGTTAATTAACAAAAATATATTTTCCCCTAAATGCCTTAAAAACGTGAATTGTTTTTTTTAAATGTTTTTTTTTTTCCAAAAACTGAGAAGAAATTTATAAGATATTACTAAAAAAATTACGTTTATATAATTTAAACAAAAAATCCAGTTTTATATATATAAAAAAATTCAAAAAAAATATTTAAAAATAGTTTAAAAAATATTTTCAGAATCCAAGATTATATATAAAAAAAATTAAACAATATTATTTAAAAAAAATAAGAAAACCAACACGTTTATATAATTAAAAAAAATATTTTTTAACGTTTATATTTAATTATTTTAAATATATTTTTTTTTAAATTGTATAAATGTGGCTTTTTTTAAATATTTTTTTTTAATAATATTTTTTAAATTTTTTTTATATACATCTACATTTTTATATCCTCCACCATTCTATGGAGAATATATTAACTTTTATCCGTTTGTAACTCCTTGAAATATTTATAATAGACCCTACAAAGTATATATATATTCAGGATCAGCGTAAAATTCCAAAACGATATAGCGATGTCCGTCTGTATGTATTTTGTGATCACGCTATCTTTCGAACAAATTGAGATAGAAGGCTAAAATTCTGCATGCTTGTATAGTTTACCAGTAGGCAGGTTAAGTTCGTAAATGGGCCATGCCGGTGCACCTTATAACGGTACCTCCTGATATTCGGCATTTTGATGATTTCAGCAAAATTATTCACCGGAACCGTTTCAAATTTTATACTGGAAGATCCTAACGGGTACTACATGCCAAGACAGAAAATTGTCTGTGCAGGTTCAAGTCTCCGTATAGCTCCCATATAACGGTAGCTCCCGATATACGGTATTTTGATGATTTTTCACGACATTATTCACCGGAATTGTTTCAAATTTGGTATTTGAAGTTCGTAATGGGTACTACAGCCTATGACAAAAAGTTTCGTAACCAGCTCCACGTCTTCGTATAGGGAAGTCCATCCAGTTTCATTTAAGTGGTAGTTTCCGGAAATTTTTTGAAATTTTTTAACTTCCTTCGAATAAGTGGGGGGTATTAAAAGTTTGTACCGGCCGAACTTAGCTGCTTTTTTACTTGTTTTGACTAATATTTTTTAATTTTTTAAAAAATATTTTTTAAATTATTTATATATAAACGGGGATTTTTTTTAAATAATAATAAAAGTAATAATACTTATTTTTTAAATTATATAAACATTTATATAAACATTTTATTTAAGTGGTAGTTTCCGGAAATTTTTTGAAAATTTTTACGTTCTTCCAAATAGTGGAGGGTAATAAAAGTTCGTACCGGCCGAACTTAGCTGCTTTTTTACTTGTTTTGACAAATATTTTTTTTAAATTATTTTTTAATATTTAAAAAATATTTTTTAAATTATTTATATATATACGTGGATTTTTTTTAAATAATAATAAAAGTAAAACAATAAAAGTAATAATACTTCTTTTTTAAGTTACACAAACATGGATTTTTTAAATAATATATTTCAAATTATATTTTTTAAAACATATAAACGTGGATTATTTAATTATGCTTCTAAGTTGTATTGGATTTTTAATGAATTTGAATGGATTTTTTAAATAATATTTTTTTAATTATATAAACCCATATTTTTTAAATATTTTTTTAATTATATAAACGTGGATTTGTTAAATAATTATATGAATGTGATTTTTTTAATAATATTTTTTTTAAATTATATAAACGTGGATTATTTAAATATTTTTTTTGTTAATATATACGTGGATTTTCTAAATTAATATTTTTAAATTATATAAACTTAGATAATTTAAATAATATTTGTTTAATTATATAAACGTGGATTTTCTTAAATAATATTTTTCAAATTATATAAATGGTATTAGCATTGATTTTTTTTAAATATTTGTTTAATTATATAAACGTGGACTTCCTTAAATAATATTTTTTAAATCATGTAAATTGTATTAACATTAATTTTTTAAATCATATTTTTTATTTTTTTTTTTTACATAATGTTTTTTTATATATATTATAAAGAACCTTTTTTAATATAATTTTTCAAATTTTTTTTAATAATAATTTTCTTATTGTATATAAACGTGGATTTTTTAAAATAATATTTTTAATAGTATAATATAAATAATATTTTATAAAATATATACATTTATTTCCAAATGTGGATATAAAAAAATCCAAACGTGGAATTAGAAAAAAATTCCAAATGTGAATTTAAAAAAACATTCAAACGTTAATTAAAAAAAATATATATATATATATTTTTGGCTAAAAAAAAGAATATTTCACACGTGGATATAAAAAAAAAATAATTAAAATAAAATATTTATTTTAACCATGGATTTAAAAAAAAAAATACTTTTTTGAATATTTATTTCAAACGTGTATTTAAAGAAATATTTTTTGGATTTAAATAAAATTATTTATTTTAAACGTGCATTTAAAAATATATATTTTTGCACTAGAAAAGAATATTTGTTTCAATCGTGGGTTTAAAAAATATATATTTTTTTGGATTTAAATATATATATTTATTTCAAAAAATAATTTTTTCAAAAAATATTTTTTGGATAAAAAATAATTGTTTCAAACGTGGGTTGTTAAAAAATATATTCTTGGAAAAAAAAAATAATTATTTCAAACGAGGTCTTATAAAATAAAGAATATTTGTTGAATCACTTTTTGATTTTTCATTTTCAATTGTAACGGAACTGTCTAGCGCCACCTATATTTCGCTCGATAATCAAATATAAGAAGTAGACAATTAATAGTACATTACATAGATGTCGCTACTTGAGAATATATTAGCGGGTAATCATGTTCTCATGGAAATTTGAATTAAGTTTTTTACTCTTAAAATATTTCTCTTTTTATTTTTCTGATTTTAAAGGAATTTGAAAAAAAAAATACTTAAAATACAATCTGATATAAATATAACAAAGTATTGTGTTCTTTTAAGATTAAATTCATGGTTTATTTTAGATTATATTCTTCTTTGATAGAGAGAGGATATATATATAAGCGAGAAAATGACAACATTTTTAGCCGGGAATATGTGAAAATTACTTGGAAGGAAGAACTACGAACAATAAATTTGAAAATGAATGGACATCAAAAAGGATGAGATTTCCTCTGTACGGGTGAGATATATATATTTTTTTAAATTTATTGAATGAAAGCAAAAAATGTCGGAAATGCCATCAAATTTTACAATATGTTTAGATTTGTTCGAATTGGTCACCTTTGGCACGAATTGTGGCCTTCAAATGGCCAATAAAAGCGTCACACTCTGCCCGAATGTTCTCTGGGATATTTTGGTCCATTCCTGGCGAAGTGCTTGCTTGAGGTGATCGACATTTTGGTATTTTTTAGTGACAACCTTGCTTTCCAAAATACTTCAACGGATTGGTATCCGGAGATTTTGGTGGCCATTGTGAGCTGGAAATGAAGCGAGAAACCTCATTTTGTAGCCATTCTTGGGTGGCGCGTGCTGAGTCCTGTTTGAATGTCCAAGGTCTGCGGCCAAAATATTTTCGCGATAATTTTCGGCATTTATTCGGATGCCACGGTCGATTAATACAAGCGGAGAGCGGCCATCAGCTGTTATGGCGGCCCACACCATCACCATGGCCGGCGTTTGAGTTCTGGAGGCCAACCAAAGGTGCACATTTTCAGCTAACCTCTTTGGCAAGTAAACACATCGGAAAAACCCAAATTCGGCAGTTCACCACTTTCAGCCAAGCGAAGCAACAATGACAGAAGAATATAGCTATACGCATCGACACAGCTGCTGGAACAATGAACTGTAAAACCAATTTTAGGATTGAAAATGTTGAATGAAAAATTATTTAGATATGTAAAAATTGTTTAAAAACGCGAATTATATAACCTCCGAATGACGTCACATAAGAAAACATATAAAAATCTACTTATATTTGAAAAAATCATTTAAATTTTGTTGTACATATCAGTGCTCCCAAGCTTTGATGCCTCTGCCTGTATTCTTCTGAAGTGGAAGCACTCATTAGCTCTTTTGAGTCTACATTTAAATGAAGTGGAGTGCTCTAACGATAGCCACTTGTGGTTTTCCAGCCAAATATAAAGAAATTACACTATCTCGCCTGAATTCCATCACGAATAACTTTTTTTCTGGAAAATTCTCACTAAAATGCTTTTGTACGCTGTTAAACAATATAATGAGCTGTCACTGGAATAATTTTAAGAGCTGTCGGAAGAGTGGCTCAGAAATGACAGCAGTCTGAAGTTTTTCACCTCACCTTGTATTTTAAAAGAGTACCATTCCTTCTACATTTGCTCTGTTCCAGAGCCTGCAAGAATCTACTACATTTGCAAATTTTTTCGATATCATACAGGGAAAATCGTTTATTGTAGCAAAAACTTTTACATTCTTGTAGTTCTGGAGCAGAACAAGTCGGTATTTTCCCCCTTAAAAATAATAAATAAATCAGCTGTTTGTTGATGGGTTTTAAGCATTGTATTTGTGATTTCTTTTGTTCAGTTTATTCAAATACGTGTTTTTATTAATTTTATTATATATAATCGAAACAACAATAACTAAACTTAACCTAAAAAAAAATTAAATGTGCTTTATTTTTAAAATTATTTTTTCACTTATTTTTTAATTTAAATTTAATTTGTTTTTTTTTGTTTGTTTTATTTAAGAAATAATAAAGAATTTTTTTTAAAACTTATACATTAAGATTTTCATAACTTATTGCTACGAAAATTTAAAATAATTAAACTATTTTAACTTATTTTATAATTAATTATACACATATACATATAGAATTAATTAATATTATATACTGTACAATATTTATATAGAAGAAAAATATTTGTTTTAAGGAAAAAAAATGGTCTTAAAACTAAAAAATAATAATAATAAGTTGTTCGTTCATCAAACAAAAAGCAGGAAGAGCGAGCTACGGACCATAACATTAATGTTTGAAATATGAGAGAATTTGAAAAAGCTAGTGAGGGAAAACATAAATCTTATTTTAATAAATAATCATAAAATATTGACACTGTGGAAAATTTTCAATTCAATTTTTTTTTTTTGTTTTTATTTGAGAGGTATGGAAATTTCCAATTTGGTTTGAGGGTTTTATGTTAAAAGACCAAGTTCCGTAGAAATGGGAATTCTTAAGGTGGGAATACATAATGCGCTTATCTGGTTGGCTTAAGTTATCGGCTGGCTTCTTCGGAAATGAACAAAGGAGCCTAGGTCCAAAATCGAACTAAGTCAACCTAAGACTCTTTATTAATCTACGAAGAAGACAGCCGATGACTTAAAGCCAGCCAAATATGCGCTTTATGTATTTCCACCTTTAATCCAACAAAAATTGTTTTGCTGGGTAATGATATTTTCTTCGGCGAGTTCAACCCAAAAAAGGACCACAAATTTTCGGAAAAAAAACTAGAGACTAAATAAAATTTAAATGTTAATAATTCCGATGAATATCGGGAGGTACCGTTATATAGGGGCAATACAAAGACGTGGACCTGCATAGGAAATTTATAGGCCTAGGATGATGTATTGTACGAATACGAAATTTGAAACAATTCGGGTAAATAATGTCGCTAAAATCATCAAAATACGGAATATTTTGAGGACCTTTATATGGGAGGATATACGAAGACGTGGACCTGTATAGGAAATTTTTAGGCGTAGGTTATAGTACTCATTACGAACTTTGAATACGAAATTTGAAACAATTTGGGTAAATAATGTCGTTAAAATCATCAAAATACTGATTATTGGGAGGTACCTTTATATGGGGGCTATACAAAGACGTGGACCTGCATAGGAAAGTTTTAGGAATAGGCTGTAGTACCCAAAACAAACTTCAAATACGAAATTTAAAACAATTCGGGTGAATGATATCGTTAAAATCATCAAAATATTGAATATCTTGAGGTACCTTTATATGGGAGGCTATACGTGGATCTGTATACGAAATTTTTAGGCATAGGCTGTAGTACCCAATACAAACTTCGAATACGAAATTTGAAACAATTCGGGTAAATAATGTCGCTAAAATCATCAAAATACCGAATATTGGGAGGTACCGTTATATAGGGGCTACACGAAAACGTGGACTGACATGGCTCATTTACGAACTTAACCTGCCTACTGCGAAAATACACATCATGTAAGCACAATTTTAGCCTTCTATGCCAAGCGATGATGCCAAGCTGCTTATTTCCGTCCATAATGTGCTCGAAGCAGCTTTTGTAGGCTCTAAATTTAGGTTGTCTTTAAGCGTCTCGTTTATTCTGATCCATGGTTAAATGAAAAATTCATTTTTAATTAATCAATTCATCTCTGCATTTTGCAAAAATTTACCTTTTCAAATTTATCAGCATAGAAAACTGGTTCCCATCCCTGAATTTATAAATAGACATTTTGACGATGAGACGCTGTCAAATGAATGATTTTGAAAAAATTTTAAACACTTGATTGCATAACTTTACTTTCTTAATTTTACCATTTTCTCACCATGTGGTATATTTTGCCTGAGAATTTCAATTCCTTTTTGTTCGTGGTTTGGTCTGCTGACATAACATCTTTAGCTTTTAACTAACATGGAATTTTCCGCTTAAAAGTTAGAGGAGCAAACACAGAATGAGTCCGCGGAGGCATTTTATGTGTTAAATATTGTTAAATATCCATAAAACGGTAAATATAGGGAGACAATTTTATCGATACCTCTAATTGTTGTTCTATGGTTAATATTTAAAATTTCTAAAATGTCTCAACGCTCTCATTCTGTTTAAGCCCCTTAAAAACTGCTACCAAATCTAGACAAAAAAAGGCCCAGTATCTTTATATCCACATTTATCAAAATAATTTTGCGAACATTGATGATTGACTTTCAGCCCAATCATGGATAACAATTCCGTGTGGAATTGTTCACCTTTTTCCGATCATAGACCACAATTTCTCTCGGAAAATAATTTCAAGGAAGAAAAAGTAATGCTTTCGAAATAGAATTTTACTTCAGAAAAAAATCCCTCACCAAACGAAAGGTTGCAAAGAAATTGAAATATTTCAAATCAAGTAATTTTATCGATTTTTATATCCAATTGGACAACTGGAACTTGATTACAGGGGTTGGCATCATCAAATAGGGTTTCTTGAATTCTTTTGAAGAACAATAATTTCTACCACACTTTCAATGAATTTTTATAAACATTGTTTTTAAATTATTTTTGGATTTTATCACAATTTTTTTAAAGTGACTAAGATAAGTTGTTCAAAATTTCCCATTCGAGATTGTATTTTGAAACCTTTATGTTGCTCCACAGATACATGTTGTCCATTCGACACATATATTCGAAACCTAATATTGTAAATTATTTTGGTTTAAATTGCTTAATTTTAATAAAAAAAAAAAAAAAACAGTAAGGAAAGGTCAAAATTCTCCCGTAACAATACAGTTTGTATTAGGAATTTATGTGAAGTGGATCATCACACCAACTCTGAATCAAATAACATTGCTGTTTAGTGCATGATATGTCTTCGATAAGGACTATATTAAAAAATATTTATTGGAGCAATAGATATATCGAGGGCCGAGTTTCACCAAATGGTGCAATTCGGTTGAATATGAAAAAAGCCATTCAATTTAGGCTGATATTACATGTTACGGGAGCTATATCCAAATCTGATCCGATCTCGATAAAATTTCGCGGAGGTATTTTTGAGTTCCATAAGGTATTTGGTACCGAATATCATTCTTGTGAAGTGCATATTACGCATGTGAGGGCCTTAAAGCCCCAAATCGAATGAAACATATATATGGGAGCTATGGCTATATCTGAATCGATTTTCTCCAAATTTGATGTACTTGCTTCGAGCCTAAATTCAGTCGGATGGGCCCAAATTCGGGTCATTTGGACTGATATTGGCAATTTGGTGCACAATTAAGCCGAAATCGGTTGATGGTATTATATCTGAGTTATATCTAAATTTGAACCGATTCTCACCAATTGGGTTCGTCCTTGGGCCAAACAAACATTGTTTGGAAATTGTCATCTCAATCGGACAATAAATATACACAAATGTACATGAACAGACGGACGGACGGACTGACATGCATAAATCGACTCAGAAAGTGATGCTATGAGGATCCTCAAAAAAAAGTAACTATGGGTCTATCTCGCTTCCTTCTCCATGTTACAAAGAAATGCACAAAAAAATAATATCCTGACCACAGTGTTATGATATCGTAACAACATATTTAGCAATGTTATGCGATTTAACCCACTCAGGCATTATGCAATTAATTGGGAAAGTCTATGGAATAGAATTTTGAAACCCAATTTTAGGATTTTTCAAAGTTTAATTTGTCATTTCTTTTGTAAATGTGTTTTTATACCCTCCACCTTGGAAAGGAGGGTATATTAACTTTGTCATTCCGTTTGTAACATCCTTAAATATTCGTCGTAGACCCCAGCATAAAATTCTAAGTCGATTTAACGATGTCGGTCTGTCTGTCTGTTGAAATCACAATACAGCCCACATTATTTGACATAGAGCGCCAAAATTTAGCAGAGCAATTTGTATTGTGTCTAGGATGGTTGGTATTGAAAATGATATATCGGTTGACGTTCTGGTATAGTCCCCATGTAACGGTATCTCTCGATATTCGGTATTTTAATTTTTTTGGCAACATTTTTTCACGGATTTGTCTAAAAATTGGTATTTTGCTGGTCATAATGGGTTCCAGCTCCGGTGGCGAAACATTGCATGTATGGGTCCATGATTTGGTATAGCCCCCATATAACGGTACCTCCCGATATTCCGTATTTTGATGACTTTTGGCACATTTTCCCATGAATATGTCTAAAAATTGGTATTTGTAGGTCCTGATGGGTTCTAATGTTTCCTTTACCCTAAGGTGGAGGGTATTAAAAGTAATATTTTTTACTTGTTTATATTTACATGGTCCTGCCATGGGCTGTTACAGACACAAACCATCTGTCCAGAATGCATTTTGTCCAGTCTTTACCATTTTAGGTCTTTGTGCCACAAATAGGTTTCACACGATACGAAAATAAGACCCATTCGCATTGCCATCTTTACCAATTGTTTCTTCTCATTTATTCGTGATTGGCCAAAATACCTTTCCAAAAAATAATGCACTTTCCGTGGGAATAGAATGCTACGCTCGGATATTCATAATTGGGCTGAATCGGGCATAACGAACAAAGAATTACTAAGAACTACTTAACTTTTCAATTTTACTAAAGATAATTAATTGATTGACTCTTCTATGTGTTTATGTTTATGTATGTGTGTGTGTGTGTGTGTGTGTGTGAGTTTTAGAAGATTTATGGGAAATGACATCTAGAAGAAAGTTTCAAGAGAAAATAGGTAGAGATGAAATATTAGGTTCCAAATCCCGTTTTCCTCCTTGAAAATCTCTCCATAGATTGATGACCTCCCCCTCTTCTAAGTATGTGTATTCTAAATGAAAAGTGTGGTTATGTTTTTGTTTTTTTTTTTTTTTAGAACTACATTTGTTTTGCTTAGCTTTTTTTCAATAATAATCGACATTTGTTTAGTTTTTTTTTTCTTTCTATTATTAATTTGTTTTGTTGCTGCAGTTATTTTTTTATTAACATAAGTTATGTGTTTTTAGTTTTAATAATTTTTGTAGTTGTTTTTTTTTTCTTCTCTGTTTTGTGATTTGCTTTCGCTTACAAACTTATTAATGTATGAGGTTAATTTTCTTCAATTCAGAAACATCGCTATCACTTTCTTTGACTTTCTTTTCACAGAATTCAATCAGATATGACAAAATACCTGACAAAGCTATAAAGACACCGGCAAAATAAAATGTGTCATCCCATCTGAAATTCGACAAAAAATAAAAAACAATTAATTTTGAAAATATTAAAAACAAAAATCAGTTACTACCCACCTTAAGGTTGCCTCAAAAATAGCACCAGCTATTGGTGGCCCGGCAATCATGCCGACACCCTGCACCAACAGTACCAGACCATAGGCACAGGTGAAATCGTCTAGATCAACTATACTAACCAAAATACTAGGCGTAAATGAAAATGAGCTGGCAAAGGTGAAACCGAAAATAATGCACAGGGTCAACAGCATATTGTAGCTGCTTACAACCAACGGCATCAGCACCACCGAAAGGCCACAAACTGGGGGGAAGAAGGAAAGGTACATTAAACAAAATTTGGAATCAACAGTTTTGCTTTTGGTACTTACGTAGCATACAACCCGAATAGCAGACATTGACATTCATCCAGGAACAGTCACCAATGTAACCCAAACCAATCATGCCAATCGTTTGGGCCACACCAATCGCCGATATTAAACGGGCACTGTCATTGGCATCGTAGTCATATTTTCTCATAAACTCGGGCAAATAAAGGTAGGGTATAATGAACCTGGAATTTAAGAGGAAGAGAGAGATAAATAAATTGTCTTTTAAATTTAAATATTTTAAAGAGCCTATAGAAAACTCCCGAAGATTTCTATTTTTTTTTTTTGAATACCCTCAGAAAAATTTTAATCTTCTAAAGAACTTTGGAAAATCTCATGGCAAAATTCAATCACAGATCGAAACCTGTTTTCTTTGCAGTAAAATTTTTTAATAATAAATTGCAGAAAATGCAGAGATGGATATTATTAATTTTTGAAATGTCTTTACCTTTTTATACCCTGCCACCATAGTATGGAGGGTATATAAAGTTTGTCATTCCATCTGTAACACCTCGAAATATACATTTTAGACCCCACGAAGTGTATATATATATTCTTGATCAGCATAAAATTCTATATCGATTTAGCGATGTCCGTCCGTCTGTCCGCCGTGGAAATCACTCTAGCTTCCGAACGAAATTAAGTAGGTTGATACAATTTTACTCAAATGTGTATTATGTCTGCAGGACTTTTGTTATTGAAAATGGGTGATGTAGGTCCATGTTTTGGTATAGCCCCCCCATATAATGGTAACTCCCTTTTGTCGGTATTTTGGTGATTTTAGCCACTTATTCATCGGAAATGTTTCAAATTTGGTATTTCAAGTTCGTAATGGATAGTACAGCCTAAGACAAAAAATTATCTGTGCAGGACCATGTCTTCGTATGGCCCCCATATAACGGTACCTCCCAATATTCGGTACTTTGATGACTTTAAGCGACATTATTCACCGGAAATGTTTCAAATTTGGAATTTGAAGTTCTTAATGGATACTACAGCCTAAAACAAAAAAGTGTGTGTGCAGGTCCATGTCTTCGTATATCCCCCATATAACGGTACCTCCCAATATTAGGTACTTGGATGATTTATTATTCATTATTCACCGGAATTGTTTCAAATTTTGTGTTGGAAGTCCGTTATGAATACTACAGCCTATAACAGAAAATTGTCTGTGCCGGTCCAAGTCTTCGTATAGCCCCCATAAAAACGGTACCCCCGAAATTCGGTATTTTGATGATTTTATCGACATTATTCACCGGATTATTCATCATATTTGGCATTTGAAGTTCGTAATGGATACTACAGCCTACAGCCCATTCCTTCTGGTACCTCCCGCACAAAGGATTGATGTTTTGAATAACAAAAACGATAATAGTATCCGAAATAAGCATCCGGTTCTCTTTATATTTCACACATCCCATTATTTCTACTAACTCAAGATCTGCTGTGAATATGGGATATATAGGCCCACTCCTTCTGGTACCTCCCCCACGAAGGGTCCAAATTTTGAATAATATCCACATGAAGCGAATAAAACGCGAAATTAACATCAGATTCGATTCAGACTTGGTACATCTCAATATTTCCAATTGACCAATTGTTCTGATTCGTCCGCCACAAAGGATCAAAATTTTGAAAAAAAAAAAAAAAACAAAACGATCATAAAATCCGATATAGTCCAAACCTGGCACGATACGAAATGGACAATATTGGTCCATTGCTTCGGAATCTACGCCATAGAGGATCAACAATTTCAATACTCAAAATAGAAGTCAAAATACATTTAAACAATCGAACATTGGCTGAGGGTATACATCTGTCGGCAAAACCGACTTATACTTCTTAACTTGTTCATACTTACCAAATAAATAGGAATAATGTTGATAAATTAAATAACGTAAATTTAATGTCCTTAAATAGTGAGAAATCGAAAACTGATTTCATTGTATCGATGAGATTGTCATACCACGTCTGGAAGAGAAGAAAGAATGAATAAAAATTAAATACGTATTTATAAATCGTGAGAAATAAATAACAATATGGGAGCACAGTATGGATCTGTTGTAGAACTCCAAGGTCTTTAACTTCCCGCATCACCAAATTTAGTTCAATTTCGAACAATTATAGTATGCATTTTCAAACCCGACCTTTATGGTGACATCTATATCAAATTTCAGAATTTCAACTCTATTTCTTCACACAATACCAAATTAAGTACAATTTAGTACTTTTCGTACAATTATGGTACATATTACCACAACCACCTCCATATATCTCGATCTCAGATACCAACAGATCACTTCACCCAAAACCCAATTTTGTAGCACTTAGTACAATTTCGTACAATTATCACTACACTATACTAATCTAGACACCAATATAGACCTCAATATCATATATGAGGATTCCAATCCTACCCTATTCACCTAACACCCAATCTAGTACTTTTCGAACAATTATAGTTGTACGCATTTTCAAAATAATCTACATATTTTAATGCCAGATACCGACAGTGACCTAAATATCAAATTTCAGGCTTTCAGCCATGTAATTGCCCCCGTTGCCAAATTTGGTACCATTTAGTACAACTATCGTACATATTTCCAAAACATACATATTTCCACCGCCATATCTCAACATCAGAAACCATACCTCAATGTCAAATTTCGGGATTACACCTCTATACAGGGTGAGATAAAAAAACTGCAACCAAATTCAGACTGCTGTCATTTCTAAGCCACTCGTCCGACAGCTGTTAAAATTATTCCAGTGACAGCTCATTATATTGTTTACAAGCGTACCAAAGCATTTTGGTGAGAATTTTCCAGAAACGGAGTTATTCGTGGTGAAGTTCAAGCATGATAGTGCGATTTCTTTATATTTGGCTGGAAAACCACAAGGGGCTATCGTTAAATGTGAATAAATCTTTTGTGTCTCATATCATGGCTCGTTACCGGACCGTGGTAGCGTAGCCCGATATATGTCAATGAAGTGGACGGAAGAAAACAGCAACATCAGCAGAAATGGTTCGAAAAATAAAGAAGCGACTTGATCGAATACCGCGTCGCATTGGCCGAAAAATGACTCGTGAGCAGAATATATCGTAATATTCCATCCGGAAAATATTGAAAAGTGAGCTCGGGGTAAAGTCATTGAAATTCCAAAAAGTGCAAGAACTTACACCGCAACAAAAAGAAAATAGACTCAAAAGAGCTAAAGTGTTGCTTCGCTTGGTCGAAAGTGATGAACTGCCGAATTTGGTTTTCTCCGTCTCTGAATAGAAAACATTCGTTATCCAGCTTTTTGGAAAACAAGTAAAAAAGCTGTAAGATCGGCCAGGCCGAACTTTGAATACCCTCCACCATTTGGTACAAATATAACAATTTTCAAAAAAATAAAATCCGTTAAAAACTCTGTTAAAATCTTAAAAATACCGAATATAGCCGTATATTAGGGTCTATACGACGACGTGGACCTGCATAGGAAATTTTTGTCACAAGCTATTACAATATTCAAATGCGAAACTTGAAAAAAAAAATCTGTTTATAATGTAGCTAAAATCATCAAAATTCCGATTATAAGGAGGTACCATGGGGGTTATAAAACGTGGACCTGCACCGACAATTTTCTTTCATAGGCTGTAGTATTTATTATGAAATTCAAATACAAAATTTGAAATAGTTCCGGTAAATAATGTTTCTAAAATCATCAGAATATCCAAATCGGGAGGTACCGTTATGTGGGGGCTATACGAAGACGTGGATCTACATGGCCAGTAAATACGCATTTTCAAAGCTTCCTATGTACCCCAATCCGACACTTCCACAGAAATCCCAATTCTAAACTTTAGGATTTCATCCCTGTTAATTGTACTTATTTAGTACATTTTAGTACATATAAGTACAACATTTCGAAAACTAAGTACATATTTCAATCCCGCACTCCGACAGTAATTTTATTTCCAATTTCCAGGATACCAACTCTATTGGTTTACCCAAATCCAAATTGTACCATTTACATACATTAGTACCATTTAGTACGCTTAAGTACAATTTTTTTATAACTACCTATATCATACAATCCAATAGAAATCTTATTTCCAAATTTCAGGATTCCAACACTACCGATTCTCTCTAAATTTAAATTGTACCAAATTTTGTACCATTTAGTACACTTAAGTACAAATTTCCATAACTACCTATATCTTACAATCCAATAGAAGACTATTTTCCAATTTCAGGATTCCAACACTACCGGTTCTCCCTAAATTTAAATTGTACCAAATTTAGTACCATTTAGTACACTCAAGTACAAATTTTCATAACTACCTACATCATACAGTCCAATAGAAATCTTATTTCCAAATTTCAGGATTCCAACTCTAACGGTTCACCCAAATCGAAATTATACCAAATTTAGTACCATTTGGTACATATGAGTACGAATTTCCAAAACTACCTACATTCCACAGTCCCAGAAGGCAATAGTAATCTTATTTCAAAATTTCCGAATTCCAGCTCTATCGAAATTGTACTAAATTTAGTACCATTTAGTACTTTTCGTACACACAAGTACACACTTCGAAAAAACTTGGCAAATCGAACAAAAAAAGCTCCTTTTCAAATCTTCAATACTCACATCTTCATCTTCTTTGGCAATGGTGGTCATTGAATTCCGATAGATGTTCGGACACGATGAGGCCCTCAGCCGATACCGATGTGTATTCAGCATAGCACCACGATAATGTATCGAATTTCGATGGATACGCATATCCTTGAGAAAATTGGAATTACGTATCGAAATATTCCGGCGTAGATTCGAACGATAGGTGGGCTTGCGTGACTTGGAGAGGCGGCGCATGCCGGTGATGCTGTCGGTGCGGGTGCGTTTCAAAAGCGTTTTATTTGTCTGCTGCTGTTGGCCGAACAGCGTTTCGTTTTCGGGAATTTGTATTATTGCCGGACCACCTGCTGCTCCTGCTCCGTTACGCATCATGCCGCCGGCCAGCTCATTGTGTTTGCGTAGATTGGCCTCAATCAGGGCAGCGCCACCCTCGTCTTTGGCACAGCTGAAATAGGAATGAACCTCTGGATTGAGAATGTCCACGGAATTGTGGCGATAGCCATTGACCCGCAAATCCTTGTAGGAGGCTGACATGTTTTTGGCAGCAAAGAAAATGTTCTCGTTGAGCGAGTAGCGGGAAATAGCATAGTGGTCGGCACTGTGTTGATTGTGCTCCCGGGAATACTTCTGGGTCAGATAACCCTCATCGATGGACGAACGCAGCGATGCCAGGGAGGTGTTCATGGGCGAGCGAGGTATGTCATTGGAGGAGCGCTTCTCGGAAGGCGAAAGCGTTTCAATGGAGGCCAAGATGTGACGTTTGGCATTTTCCGCCACCTCTGAGGGTATGCCACCCATCATGGTGTCATCCGGGGAGCCAATAACCGCTGCCGTGGTATTCATACAGGGATTGCCGACTGATGACATGCTCAGGAGATTTTCCCTTGAGGGAGCTTCGGCACCCTCTTTGTGACGCAGCGAACGGCGACTCATACTCTTCACTTCGTACAGATCCAAATCCAAGTCCTGCGATCCAAGAAACGTGGGCAGGAACAACTCACTACGATACTTTTTCATGTGGCCCTCATGGGGATCATCAATTTGTTGATTGGCCTCGGTGTTGTTCTTCGTCACCAGAGTGTCCAGCACATATTCCTTGGTGGCTCCAGTGTCCAGCAGCTTCTTGATCTCCTCCAGACACACACTGGAATTGGAAAATGTGGTAACACTTTGGGAACGACTCTCCAGGCGATTCTCCTCAATCAACCAATCGGGATCACGCATCAGAGCACCGCAGACACAGGCATTCAACATGGTGCCGGCCAGGATCAGAGTAGCACCTCTCCAGCCGTAGTTGTCTATCAGCAATTGAGTTAACGGGGCATAGAGGAAGGTACCGATACCGGTGCCCGAGGCACCAATACCGGTGGCAAATGTCCGTTTCTTGTCGAACCAAAAGGCGATGGAAACTACGGCCGTAACATAGCCAATGCCGAGGCCCAGGCCGGAAATTATGCCAAAGGTGACCATGAGCATTTCGACGGAATTACAAATCGAGGAAAGGCCAAAGCCAATGGCCGACACCAGACCTCCGAGAATAGTCATTTTGCGGCAGCCATATTTGTCCACCAGATTGGACCAGATGGGGCCCATTAGCAGTGGCACCGAAAAGAACAGGGAACTAATCCAGGCAGTCTTCGAGGGACTTTCTCCGAAGTAGGCCAACAACTCGGTGTTGATGAGGCCAAAGGAAAACGATAAACCATCGGCGATGAGCGACACCACCAGAGAGGCAAAGACAACCACCCAGCCATAGCCACCATCCGGCATTTCCGGTTTCTTCTTTTCGCTCAATCCCGATTCTATTGAATCGCCGGATTCGTTGGATATCAAGCGTTTGCGCTTCTTGACATTGCTGCCATTGGCCATGGTGGAGGAGGAGCTGGAGGTGTTGTTCAGCGTACCGTTCACATCGCTGATGTTGATAATGCTGTTCTTGAGATGACGCGAGGAACGTTCTCCCAGATCCTCTGTGGAGGAGAGATTACAGAAGGTCACCTCCGGAAAGAGGTCATGTTTGATGGACTTGTTCAGGGGTGTGGTTTTGGCCGATGTGGCCACCCCCAGCAGGGAGGTGTCGTCGGTTTTCGTGTTCAGCGGTGTGGCGGCCAGCGGCTGATAAATGCTGCCGTTAAGCTTGGTCTTGCTGTTGTTGTTGTTGTGATTGGCAGCGGGTGTAACGACGGAGGTGGCGGCAGGAGGTAGGTTTGTTTTTGTTATCAGGGGCGTTGTAACATCCCCAGTACGGGATGCTGGCGTTAGGGCTTCAGCATTTGAAGTTGAGTTCAGGTCAAGCATTTTTGTTGAAATCTTACAACTGCTTTCCATGTGGGCGGAGAGGAGGTTGGGGTGTGTGTGTGGGTATCTCCTGGAACTACTTTGTGGTGGTGTTGGGGAAAATGTAGTTTTCCTTCTAATTTTTATTGTGAGTTTTCAATTTTCTTTTTATTTTTATTCTCTTATAAAAAAGTACGAAGTTGCTTTTGTTTATCGCTCTCACTCTCTCTCTCTCTAATTGAACACAATAAGTTTCAGCAATTTTTGGGGTATTTGTAGATAATTTGTTGTTGGTTTTTGGATTTAAGATCCTTTTTTAAATTATTGTACTTTGTTGATTGGTTGATTCTCGGGGAAAACAGGGTTTCTTGGCCTTTTCTTGTCTCCTCCCTTTGTTTTTTTTTTTTGGTTTGAGGAGTTTCTTAACGACTCTCTTAAGACGTTCGTTCTTTTTCCTTTGTCTTATGAAAAAATTGAGCACAGATTTTTTATTCCTTCATTAAGGAAATATTAAAGCGAGCCTTTGTCTGATATCTCACTATCTTTTTGACTTTCTTTCTCTTTTTTCTTGTCCTTTTTTAAAGGGGATTTGCTTCAGATTTCTCTCTTTCTTTCTCTCGTTCTCTCTGTCTCGTCAGCAAATTGAGATATTCCTCTTCGGGGTCAGCTGTATCTCGCAGCTTTTATATATCTTCTTCAAATCTTCTTTAAGCTTAGATCTTCTCATAGGCAATGATTCTGGAGGATATTTTAAGGGCTGGGTTATTCGATTGCTTGCTGGTCGTGAGGAAGAAGCTGGAAAGAGATGAGGAAAAAGAAAATTAATGTTTATGGAAATTAAAAATATTAAAAAAAACCTTTAAACAATTAAAAATTTACGAATTTATTCTGGAAGACTCTTAAGATCGACATTTTTAAACAAAAGTGTCTTAAAAAGAAAATCTTAAAAAATCTTTTTTTGTTGGAAGGGTTTTGAATATCTGTTTTTAAAAATCGTATTTTTTGAAAATAAACTCTTAAAAAATCGTTTATATTTATTCAGAAAATCCTTGTACTAAATTCCTATGAATAAGTTCTTAAGAAATCCAACAAAAATACCAACAAGAAAAAACCTTTGTGATTTTTAAATTTTAAAAAAATTACGACTTTATCCTGAAAATATTCATTAAAAATTCACTATATCTTGTCAGGGGGTCCTTGAAATAAATTCATTAAAAATCCAAATTTGTAGACAAAAGGTTCTCGAAAAAATCAATTTTTTTGTTGGAGGTGTTTTGAATATCTTTTCCAAAACACAGATTTTTTGAAAAAAAATGTTTTTTTTTGATATTTAGTCAGGAATTCCTTGCACTAAATTCCTAAGAATAAGTTCTTAAGAAATCCAACAAAAATACTAAAAAAACCTTTGTGATTTTTAAATTATTAAAAATTTACGACTTTATCCTGAAAATATTCATTAAAAATTCACTATATCTTGTCAGGGGGTTCTTGAAATTAATTCATTAAAAATCCAAATTTGTAGACAAGAGGTTCTTGAAAAAAAAAATCTTTAAAAAACATTTTTTTGTAAAAAAAATTTTTTTTCTAAAAAAATAGATTTTTTTTTGATATTTAGTCAGGAAGTCCTTGTACTAAATTCCCAAGAATAAGTTCTTAAGAAATCCAACAAAAATTCCAAAAAAAAACCTTTGTGATTTTTAAATTATTAAAAATTTACGACTTTATCCTGAAAATATTCATTAAATATTCACTATATCTTGTCAGGGGGTTCTTGAAATAAATTCATTAAAAATCCAAATTTGTAGACAAGAGGTTCTTGAAAAAAAATCTTTAAAAAAACATTTTTTTTGTAAAAATAGATAGACTTTTTGAAAAAAAATTTTTTTTTGATATTTAGTCAGGAATTCCTTGCACTAAATTCCTAAGAATAAATTCTTAAGAACAAAAATACTAAAAAAAATATTTGTGATTTTTAAATTATTAAAAATGTACCATTTTATCCTGAAAATACTCATTAAAAATTCACTATATCTTGTCAGGAGGTTCTTGAAATAAATTTATTACAAATCCAAATTTGTAGACAAGAGGTTCTCCAAAAAAAAATGTTTAAAAAATTCAAAACTTTTTGTTGGTTGGTTTCAATTTTTTTTTTTAATAAATAAAAAAAACTTTTAAAAAATCGAGGATATTTAGTCAAGAGGTTCTTGTAAATTCCCCACAACAGCACGATTTTTGTTTAAGATGTTTTCGAAGAACTGTTTAATTATTAATTAATTATTAAAAATTTACGAGTTTATCCTGGGAGATTAAAATTTTTTCTAAATGTTCTCGGAAGGTTCTTAAAATAAATTCATATAAAATCCCCAATTTTTGACAAGAGGCTCTTAAAAAATCCTTATTTCAATTTTTATACCCTCAGCCATATGGCTACAGAGGGTATATATCATTTGATATGGTCAAAACGTGCCTAGTCGAAATAACGGTTTTAGACCCTAGGTCTCTTTGGACCAAATCCGTTTCAGAACATTTGCAGTCGATCTAGCGATGTCCGTTTGTCTGTCTGTCTGGCTGGTGCGCACGATAACTCTCTAAGGGAGTATCCGATTTGGTACAAACTTGGTACAACGTAATATTTTGTCAAACTTAGATCGAGTTCGGAGATGGGCAATATCGGTCCACTTCTTCTGGTACCTCCCCCACAAATGGTCAAAATTTGGAGTATCCATGAAGCTCATAAAACGCAAAATTAACATCCGATTCTATCCAGACTTGGATGATGTAAGAGACTGATTGTCTTTAAATTTCACATATCCCAATAATTTTATTAACCCAAGATCCGGTGTCAATGATGGAATACATCGGTTCATTCCTTCTGGTACCTCCCCACAAAGGGTCAAAATTTTAAGTATCCATGAAGCTCTTAAAACGCAAAATTAACATCTGATTCTATTCAGACTTGGAGCTTCTCAATATTTTCATCAACACAAGATCTGTTATAAAGATGACAGAGGTCGGACCATTTTTTCTGGTAACTCCCCACATAAGGTTCCAGATTTTTCAAATCAAAACGATCAAGGAATTCGAAAAAAGCATCCAAAAGCATCCATCCATCTCCTCAAATTTCCCACATACAGACATTATTTCTAACACAAGATCTGTTGTGAAGATGATATACATCTGCCAAATTATAACTGTCATAACTTGCGAAACAAGTCGGCGATTCTTTACAACTTCCTAGATCTAAAATATTTCTCTTAATCAGTATTCTGATATGAATATGTAAATTGGATGCGATTTCCTTCAAATTTTGCACATACCAATATATTTTATCTGTATTAGATGAAGTAAGAAAATGAAATACTTCGGTGTGCTATATCTGTTACCTGACGCATATTTCCATTTTCCGAAAATGTGTACATATTTCATATAAAGTACAAGAAGTAGTCGATATAGTCCAAATCTGTCACATTCATAGCTCAAGGCTGGGGGTATACATCTGTCGGCAAAACCGACTGATACTATTTTACTTGTTTTAGTTTTTTTTTTTTTTTTAATTCGGAAGGTTTTTATAGTCGGAAGTTTTTTAAATAAATTTTATTAAAACAATAAATTTTTCGAAAAAAAAACTCTTAAAAAATCTATGATATTTAGCAGAGAGATCCCTGTTCTAAATTCTTAAGAGATGTAACAAGTCTGAATGGTGTGAGCTGAATAATTTCACATTTTATAAGCTTCATGGATGGATATTCAATATTTTGACCCTTTGTGGGGGATGTACCAAAAGGAGCGGTCCGATATATTCCATCTTTACACCAGACCTTGGGTTAATAAAAATATTATGGTGTGTGTGTAATCGGACTCTAACATCACATTCTATAAGAGTTATAATTATTCAAAATTTTGACCTCTTGTGGGTGAGGTACCAGAAAGAGCGGTCCGATATATTTCACATTGACACCAGAATTTGAGTTTAAAAAAATATTGTGCTGTGTGTAGGTTGAAGATAATCTTGCATCATATTTTATAAGAGTTATAATTATTCCAGATTTTGACACTTTGTGGAGGAGGTACTTGATGGGGGTGGACCGAAATTTTCCATTTTCTCACCTTACCTAGCGCTGATGAAAATATTAGGATTTGCAAAGTTGGTGCAAAACCTTTTGTGGCGGAGGTAACAGAGGCAGTGAACCGATATTGCCCATTCCACCTTGGCACCAGACCTTGGGTTAATAAAAATAAAAGGATGTGTGAAATTTGAAGACAATGAAGACATCTGATTTTATAAGACCTATAATTATTCAAAAAAATTTGACCCTTTATGGAGGAGGTACTTGTTGGCACCCGAACCGAATTTGTCAATTTTCTCTCCTGACCTAGCAATCACTGCATCACGCAAATATTAGGTTTTGAAAAAAATTCTGTGCAGTCAAAAATTTTCTTTGCAAATGTTGACATTTTGAGGGGGAGGTACCAGAAGGAGTGAACCGATATTGCCCATCTCCGAAGTCGGTCTAAGATTGACAAAAATATTACGATGTGTCAAGTTTGAACCAAATCGGATACTCCCTTCGAGAGTTATCGTGCGCAACAGCCAAACCAGTCGGACATTGCTAGATCGACTCCAAATGTCCTGAAACGGAATTGGTCCAAAGAGACCTAGAGTCTAAAACCGTTATTTATATGAGGCACATTTTGGGTGTATCAAATGATATATATCCTCTGTAGCCATATGGCTCAAGGTATACCTAGCCATATGGCTGAGGGTATAAAAACTAACGATTTTGGCTTGAAAAGTTCTTCAAAAATGTTTTCTAAGGACATCCACAAAAATTCACAATTATTTTTAATTCCCACCTCCAATTATGATCTATGAACATAGGTTAGTGTGTGTGTGTGTGTCATATTGTCTGCTTTGTCATCGAGCAATTTTCACCACCCCCCATCACGAGATTTGAATTTGCTGTAAATTATGTTAACAAAATAGTGGCAATACTCAACTTCTGAAGCGGTGCGTCACACATTTTTTTTTTGTTCTATCAATTTTAATTTTTTTCTCTTTTATTTTTATGTTTTTTGCTTTGTTCTTTTTACCAATTTTAAGTTTTTTTTTCTCTTTTAATTTATTTTATTTTTGTTTTTTTTTTTTTTTTGCCAAATTTAGATCAGGCACTGAATGAAAATGTAGTTTTTCTTTTTTTGTTTTATTTATTTTTTTTTAATTTTGTTTTGGATGGCGCTTTGTGTTCCTCGTTGTATTTATGTTTTTTTGGCTATCGTCTGCTCTTTTTTTTCCTTTTTTTGTTTTTGAAAATCTGACGTCTGTCGTCGTTTGTAGTTGTTTTTGATGTTGATGTAGAACGCTTGAAGTGGCTTGCAGTCAATCAAAACAAACAATAAAACTTGACAGCCAAATTAAAAATAAAAAAACACCATCACTTTGCACTTCCCCGCCTTGGCTAGGCGATACCCTGGCAGGTAGATCATAGTAAATGTGACGTCATATAATTAGGCGATTTTGTATTTCTTTTGACAATTTCCACTTTGAAACATGTTGTTTAATCACTTATTTTCATCACAATGTTTTTGTTTTGTTTTTTGCAAAAACAAAAAAAAATCCCAAAATTGTTTTCATTTCAAAACTGATGCTCTTGAGGATGACTTCCTATGACCATTGGGCGATCGCAACAACTGAGCTGAGCTATGCAAATGTGCCGCTTGAATATTTTTGTTGCTGTTTTTACGCAGCCGACTCTCACGGCGGCGAATAGAGGAAGAGACAGGCCAACAAACATATTATAGTTGTTGTTGTTGCTTTTTTGGTAATATTTTTGTTTGTTATTGCATTTTCGTATTTAATTGAAATTGTCTTTGGCGTTGTCGCGTTGCTCGTTCCCGTTGTTGTTGATGTTGATGATGATGACCAACCAAAGAACGAAGAAACCAAAGCCAAAGAAGAAAAAGAATTCCTTCAACTTGGCCTTGCAAAAATAGATTTTGCAGAAGATTTCTTGTGTGTGACAGAAAAAAAAGAAGAAGGAGAGGAAGAAGGGGAAGAGGAAGAGGAGGAAAATGTTGATGTTAATAGAAAATGAGAAGAATTTAGAGCAATAATAAAAAAAATATGAGAAATATTAATGAAAACAAAACATAAATTAAAGAAAAAACTGTCATTTCTCTTCTCGCAAATTCTTACAATTCTTCGAAGGTTTTTCTGCAACACGTTGTACCACAAATTTCAACATTTTTTTCCAATAATTACGGGAAAAATCCAGCAACCTCTCCTCCACACTTTTCGAAATTTTCGAATTAAAATTGCTTAGAATCTGTGCATTTTAGGAACAAAGTGTCTTTTCCTACATTACAGACAGCAATGCGAGGATTACAGGGTGAGATAAAAAAAATAAAAAAATTATCGAATGAAAGCAAAAATGTCGGAAATAGCATTAAATTTTAGAATAAGTTTTAATTTGTTCTAATTGGTCACCTTTGGCACGAATTATGGCCTTCAAACGGCCAATGAAACCGTCTCACGCTGCCCGAATGTTGCTCTGCGGTATTTTGGTCCATTCCCGGCGAAGCTCTTGCTTGAGGTGATCGACACTTTGGTATTTTTTAGTGCTTTTGCTAGCTTGCTTTCCAAAAAACTCCAATGAATTGGTATCCGGAGATTTTGGTGACCACAGTGGCGCGTGCAGAGTCCTGTTGGAATGTCCAAGGTCTGCGGCCAAAATGTTTGCGTGTCCAAGGCTTTAATATACCCTCCAGAATATTTTCGCGATAATATTCGGGATTTATTCTGATGCCGCGGTTGATTAATTCGAGCGGAGAGCGACCATGGGCTGTTATGGCGGCCAACACCATGACATATGTCGGGCTACGCTACCAGCTGGAGTGCTCTAACGATAGTCACTCGTGGCGTTCCAGCCAAATATAAAGAAATCACACTTTCACGCGTGAATTCCATCACGAATAACTTCGGACGAGTGGCTTAGAAATGACAACAGTCTGAAATTGGTTGCAGTTTTTTCATCTCACCCTGAAGAAAATACAGCAAATTTGAAAGATTCGCTGACTTGTATCGCAAGTCATGAAAGATAGAAGTATTGAAAATTGTGTTCCTATGTGGGTGAGGTACCAGAACGGGTTGTGTGAAATTTGAAGAGAGAGAAGAGAAATCTTGAACTCTATTTCGGAGAGGTACCAGAGGTACGCAATTCTTGCGTTGATGGAAATATTGAGATGAACCATGGTCTGAATTGTATGGGATGTTAATTTCGCGTTCCATGACCTTCATTGATATTCAAAATGTTGACCTCTTGTGGAGGAAGTACCAGAATAAGTGGACCGATATATCCCATCTTTACAGCAGATCTTGTGCTAGTAGAAATAATAGGATGTGTAAAACATGAAGGGAACCGGATGCTTATTTTGGATTTTATAATCGTCTTGGTTATTAAAAACTTTGACCCTTTGTGGAGGGGGTACAAGAAGGAATGGCCCGATCCCTACCATCTTTATTACAGACCTTGTGCTGATAAAAATATTGGGTTTTGCCGAGTCTGAAAGGAATTGGATGTTAATTTCACGTTTTATGAGCTTCGTAGGTGCTCCAAATTTTGACCCCTTGTGGGGAAGTACCAGTTATAATCGTTTTGGTTATTCAAAACTTTTGCTGGCCTTTGAGGAGAAAATGCCAGAAGAAAAGGTCCGATCCTTACCACCTTTATAACAGATCTTGTGTTTATGGAAATATTGAGGTGTGACAATTCTGAATGGAAAAGGATGTTAATTTCCTGTTTTATGAATATTAATTCATAAAAATTTCAAAAATTTTCAAAATTTTGACGTTTTGTGGGGCAGGTACCAGAAGAAGTAGACCGATATATTGCAACTTCACACCAGACCTTGAGTCAAAAAAAAAAAAAAATATTGTGATGTGTGTAATTTGAAGACAATCGGACTCTTACATCACTTTTCATAAAAGTTGTAATTATTCAAAATGTTGACCCTATTGTCCATTTACGCACCCAATATTATCCATTTACGCACCTGACCTAGCACTGATGTAAATATTAGGATTTGCAAAGTTGGAGCAAAATCGGATTATCCTTTCTCCTTCAGTGCAGTAAAAAATATTTTTGAAAATTTCGACCTTTTGTGGTGGAGGTACTGGAATGCGTGGACCGATATTGCCCATCTCCGAAGTCGATTTAATATTGATAATAATATTACGATTCACCAAGTTTGGACCAAATCGGACACTCCCCTTCGAGAGTTGTCGTGCGCACCAGCCATCCAAACAGACAGACAGACGTATGAACATCGCTAGATCGACTTTAAATATCCTAAAACGGATTTGGCCCAAAAAAGGCGTAGGGTCTAAAATCGTTATTTCGATGGGAAACGTTTTTATATATACCATTTCCATTGGAAGTCGAGATCTCCCATAGTATTTCACTTTTTAGGGAAAGTTTCAAAGTTTGAAATGGCGTAGATCCAATTTCAATTTCAATCCAATCCCTAAAAAATTCTTTAAAACGGCTCTTTTTATGTGATAATATTTCTAACAATCCGAAATGTTTGAAAAAAAAAACTACAAGTTTTGATGAACAGAAATCATTTTTTTTTCGAGAGGTCTTAAAAAATGTCCCTGTCCTTGCAATTTTTCCTAAAATATGCAATTTTTTTGTCAAGAGGTCTTTTGAAAAAATCACAAAAAAACGCATGAGAAGATATTGAATCCACGATTTCTGTCCCAAAAAAGGACCATTAAAAATATTTTTAAAAATCCGAGATTTTTTCTCAGAAGATATTTGAAAAAGTAATTTAAATTCAAAAGTATTTAACTCGAAACGTCCCTGCAAAAAAAATCTTCTAATTTTTATCAAGAGGTCCTGGAACGAAATGTATAAAAGTATTATCAAATATATACGATTTTTAGTCAGAAGGCACACGATTTTTAACCAGAAGATTAATGAAGGAAAAAATTCGTTAAAATTTTTGATCAACATTTTAAAGAAAATACTTTTACAATTCACGATTTTTGTTCGACTATGTCCATCAAAAACTCTTCAAATATCCAAGAATTTGTGTAGCATATCAATTAAAAAAAAAAAAAATGTTCTTGAAAATCCAAAAATGTTGGCCAAGAGTTTTTTTGAAATGATTTCTAAACATTTCATAAAGAACCTACGACGTTTGGTCCTTTAAAAAAAAACACCGATTGGTCCCTTGGCAAAAATAATGGACATCGTAAAAACATTGTAAAAATATTCATACAAAAATAACTGCGATTTAATGAGCGGAGTTAAAAATATTTTGGAAAAATTCCCGATTTTTTAAACAAAAATTTCTTTAAATTCCAATTTTTAAAATAAGTTTAATTAACCAAAAAATTGAACATGCTAACCAACCAAAAAAAAAAAAAAATAAAAAAAAAACAAAAACATATAAAAAAACATTAAGTTCGGCCGGGCCAAACTTTTAACACCCTCCACCTTAGGGTAAAGTAAACATTAGAAGAAATATGGCAAAAACCATTAAAATGCCGAATATCGGCAGGTATCGTTATATTGGGGCTATACCAAATCGTGGACCTACACATACAATGTTTCGCCAAAGGAGCTGGAACCCATTATGACCTACAAATACCAATATTCAGACAAATCCATGAAAAAATGTGGCAACAATTATCAAATTACCGAATATCGGGAGGTACCGTTTTATGGGGACTATATAAAAACGTGGAGCTATAATTACAATCACTCGCCACACGAACTACGACCTATTATGATCTACAACTACCAATTTTCAGAGAAATTCTTGAAAAAAATGTGGCGAAAACCATCAAAATACCGAATATCGGGAGGTACCGTTATATGGGGGCTATACCAAATCATGGACCCATTCATGTTTCGCCACCGGAACTGGAACACATTATGACCAACGAATACCAATTTATAGACAAATCAGTGAAAAAATGTGGCAAACACCATCAAAATATCGAATGTCGGGAGGTGCCGTTATATGGGGGCTATACCAAATCATGGACCCATACATGTAATGTTCTGCCACACGGACAGGGACCCGTCATGAGCTACAAATACCAATTTTCAGACAAATCCGTGAAAAAATGGGGCAAAAAAATTAAAATACCGAATATCGGGAGGTACCTTTATATGGAGGCTATACCAAAACGTGAACCCATACTTGCAATGTTCTGCCACACGGACAGGGACCCGTCATGACCTACAAATACCAATTTTCAGACAAATCCGTGAAAAATGTGGCATAAATCATCAAAATACCGAATATCGGGAGGTACTGTTATTTGGGGACTGTACCAGAACGTGGACCGATATATCTCATTTTCAATACCAACTATCCTAGACACAATGCAAATTGCTCTGCTAAATTTTGGCGCTCTACGTCAAAAATGTGGGCTGTATCGTGATTTCAACAGACAGACAGACTGACAGACGGACATCGTTAAATCGACTTGGAATTTTATGCTGATTATGAATATATATACTTTATGGGGTCTACGACGAATATTTAAAGATGTTACAAACGGAATGACAAAGTTAATATACCCTCCTTTCCAAGGTGGAGGGTATAAAAAACCAATTTAGTACCATTTAGGACTTTTCGTACAAATATAGGACACATTTCCAAACCACTGCCAAATATCAAATATCCACCATTTTGTTAGGGATTTCAATTTAGGGATTCAATTTGTTAGGGATTCAATTTAAGTGTTCTTGAAAAACAATTTTTTTTTAGTCAGGAAGTTTTTGAAATAACTTCTAAAGATTTCGTAGAGAATCTACGACGTTTGGTCCTTCAAAAACAAAACAATCCCCAATTTGTCTCCTTGGAAAAAAATTATGGATCTAGGTAGGCATC